AATATTTCCTATCTTCTACTGTTTTCTTATATCTTCTCATTTAATTTTTCTTATCCTTTGCAATTATTCCTGTACCATACATCAACTTTGGTCTTTAGTATTTTCAGTTTGTCTAAAATGTTTTCCAATAAGAATTCTTGGTTTGAAATGAATCCCTTTTACTGGGTTTGCCCGAATTTTTACAACTCCTCCTTGTAGAATTTCTGGTAACCTTGTTTAGGACAGAAATGTTTTTAGAAACAATCTGTAAGCAATGAGCTATCCAACTGAAGATCGAAGAAACTGAAACAAAACAATACGTTTGTTGGGAGTTAAAATGGACAACATTTCTTGGCACAATCATGTCACTGGAATTGCGAAGGATTTTCTTTAGGATTTTCCCGTAGTGCTTGTGTTTCAGCTTCGAAAAAAAGATACTTTTCTGTCTGTCTCATTTTTCAGCCCATTTCTTTTTTCATCATTCACAGACATAGTAGATAGTAGTCTTTCTATTTCTTCTTCATAAAACGGAAGAACTGTTTCTTTTTGTCAATATGAAGGGATGACTCCAATTCAGATTTGGTGAAGTTTTCCTGATGTTACCTGATCCTTTCCAGAATTCACCTATTCTGTAATGAGTATCCAATTTCATCGCCACCTCCCAATCTGGAGTATCATCCAAATGGTACAGACAATGACCACAACATATTTTGTTTCTGACAACACCTTCTTTTGCTCTTTTGCAGATCATCCTTGTAGTAGCCTTCTTCGGCCTGGCCAGCTGTGGCAGATTGGACACCAACTACATCCCCAGCAACCCAGACCACCACGTCGCCTCCAAAAACCCTCTGAACGACGTTCCCATCCTCCGCCTAGACAACAACAATGACGGCGAGACCTACAACTACGCCCTGGAAACTGGGGATGGTATCTCCGCCCAAGAACAAGGTGATGCCACTGGAGATGGTACCAAAGCCCAAGGGGGTTTCTCCTACACCGCTCCAGATGGTCAGGTCATCCGCGTCCAATACGTAGCCGGACCTGATGGTTTCCAAGCCCAAGGAGACCACCTTCCAGTAGCTCCGGAAATCCCAGAAGAAATCCGTAAAGCTGTCGAGCAGAATTTAGCTGATGAAGCTCGTGGTGTTGTTGATGATGGCCAGTACAGGCCCGAAGCTAGTCCCAGTGAGAAGTATGGAGCTGCTGCGGTAGTGAAGAACCAGTATGTTCCTGCGCAGACTGGATACAAGGGTTATTAGGGGGTTGACTGCTGTTTTTGAAATTTTTATGAACGTGTCTTGAATGTGTGATAATAAATAAACTGTTTATTACAATTGTTTATTGAATTTTGAAAATAATTTCCACTTATTTTTGGGTTAGAAGTAAACTCTACCCTCTACTGAAGCGCCATCTACTGAATTGACAGAAAGCCACATCTTCTTCTTCATTTATTCAAATAGTGGATCAAAATTCATTGAACATCTTGGCAACATCCTAATTTTGAGTAAATTCATTTTCATAGTGGCTAAGTCGAGGGATTCAGTTTTATATACAATACTTTAGACACATCTCTGTTAGAAAAAGTCTAATGGCGTCAGAACAGGAGACAGTGATGACCATTCCATCGATCTTTGCCTCTCTATCCAAGAATTTGAAAATAATCTTTTCAGGCTTTGATTTGAGAATAAAATAGTGCTACGTTTTGCTGAAACCATATCTTATTTGCTTGAAATTGTGGGTTTACTAACTGACACCACATTTTTTGGATCAGGACCAAACATTTCAGAGTATGGTTCATGTTCTTCTTCTCTTCAGGTCCTTACATATGATCACCAATTTGTTACCTTAGTCACAGGTAGCATGAGTTCCAAGCACGTCCACCAAAATCGCCTACAATGACCTGTCAACGACATATGTTCGTAAGTCGAAACGAAATAGTAAGTTCATACTGTCAATTTGGTGACTTGACACACTTGGCTATTCTTTGATGAACGTTCAGTAGTAGTTTTTCTGATCTGGAACCAGTGAAATTCTCGTATTGTCATGATCACGAACACGATCCCAAAACAAGATTTTTTCAATTCAGCTGCAATTTCAAAGCACAGTTCAGCAAAACAAACGACAGTTTAGCAAAGCAAAGGACACTTTCATAAAGCGTATCACGATTCAGCAAAGCAAAACGCAGGTAAGTAAAGCAAAACACAGTTTGACAAAGCAAGCAAAGTTTATCAAAGCAAATCACAGCTCAATACAGCAAAGAACAGTTCAGAAAAGCAATACACTTTTTATCAAAGCACAATTGCAATTCCAATTTTTTTCACCAGATGTTTCTGGATGATTTGAATTTCTTCTTTTCCTCTTCATTTCAAAACTATTCAGTCTAATTTTGGCCACCCTGTTTACGATTGGAATAAACAGATTTATTAAGAGTTCATTAGGTGCCAGGCTATGACTCTTTGAATTCAACGAATCACCAGTTCCATGGATAATCAATTCATGCTATGGTAATCATTTTTATCGATTGCAAAACAAGATACAGTTCAGCAAAGCTCAGCTACAATTTCAAAGCACAGTTCAGTAAAACAAAGGACAGTTTAGCAAAGCACAGCACAGTTCAGCAAAAAAAAAAGCACAGTTCAGCAAAGCAAATCACAGTTTTATAAAGCAAAGTACGGTTTAACAAAGCAAAGTACAGTTTAGCAAAGCAAAGCACAGTTTAGCAAAGCAACTCGCGGTTTAGCAAAGCACAGTTGCAATTCCAGTTTTTTTCACTAGATATTTCTGGATGATTTGGATTTCTTCTTTTCCTCTTCATTTCAAAACTGTTCCGTCTAGTTTTGGCCACCCTGTTTACGATTGAAATAAACAGAATCAATGAAGAGGTCATAAGGTGCCAGCCTATAACTCTTTGAATTCGACAAATCACCAGTCCCTGGGATAATCAATTCTCGCTATGGTAATCATTTTTATTGATCCCAAGACAAGATTCATACAGTTCAGCAAAGCACAGCAAAGAATATCTTAGCAAAGCACAGTATGTTAAAGCAAAGCACGGTTTAGCAAAGCAAAGCTCAGTTTAGCAAAGCGAATCACAGTTCTATAAAGAAAAGTACAGTTTAGCAAAGCAAAGTACAGTTTAGCGAAGCAAAGCACAGTTCAGCCAAGCAACTCGCAGTCTAGCAAAGCCCAGTTCCAATTCCATTTTTTTTCACCAGATGTTTCTGGATGATTTGGATTTCTCCTTTTCCTCTTCATTTCAAAACTGTTTCGTCTAGGTTTGTCCACCCTGTTTACGATTGGAATAAACAGAAATAATGAAGAGTTTATTGAGTGCCAGCCAATAACTCTTTGAATTCGACAAATCATCAGTTTCAGGGATAATCAATTCATGCTATGGTAATCATTTTTATCGATCCCAAAACAAGATATATTCAGTTCCGCAAAGCACAGCTGCAATTTCAAAGCAGACTTCAGCAAAACAAAGAACAGCTCACCAAAGCAAAACTTTTTCATACTGTGCTTTGCTGCACTGTATGATAAAGCAAAGCACGGTTCAGCAAAGCAAAGCTCAGGTTAGCAAAGTGAATCTCAGTTTTATGAAGCAAAGTACAGTTTAGCAAAGCATAGTACAGTTTAGCAAAGTAAAGTTTAGCAAAGCAAAGCAGAGTTCAGTAATTCACGCTATGGTAATCATTTTTATCGATCTCAAAACAAGATTTATTCAGTTCAGCAAAGCACAGCTGCAACTTCAAAGCAGAGTTCAGCAAAACAAAGGACAGTTCAACCAAACAAAGCACAGTATTCGACAGATCACCAGTTCCATGTAAAATCAAATCATGCTAATGCAATCATTTTTACCGAACTCAAACATATACTCATTGAATTCAGTGAAGCGGACTCCTACGCCAGCCGATTCCTCCGAAGAAATAAATAAATCACGCTCATTCACGATAGCTGGCCTACTTGAATGAAAGAATGAAAATCAGTGTACCACATCGAGCGTAATACTCTCGATAAAGCGTATTTAGATTACGCAAGGAACTTCTTAACCGGTTGCGTAACGAAAGTGAGCGTTGAACTTGAACTGAAGATGCACTCTGCTTGGAATTAAGTAATGGTCCAGTCGATGAGAACTCAAAGAATATAGTTTGGTAGATTTTATCAGAAACCTTTCCTTCAAAACTATTTGACTAGGCACACTTTGAAACGCATTTAGAATTATTGTCACGCCACAGATAAAAATCGTTCTAACCGTTCTTGAGTGGTGTAAAGACGGATTTCCACCAAACGGACTCGCTTGCGACTAGTTTCGTTTTCGAAAACAGAAACAAAAAACTTGTTCTAGTCCGTATTCCATAGAACGGGCAACCCTGATCATAGATCAGTTATTCCCGCCAGGCGTCTTCCACACAATAAACCTTCTCTCACTGCCTACACAGTTTTCGGTCACTATTATTGTTTATCAATCAAACGTAGATACAGTTTGCGATGCCACCAAAACTGTGAATCCTATAGACATTTTGAACTCATTGGATTTGCCAGGCATGCCACCGCATAATTCACAACTGGAGGTTGGATCGCTCACCACGGCTGTGCAACGACACGCGATTAGTCATGAAAAATCAATGGAAAACGTTGTCGAAGCCAGCATTTTCAATAGCAAGTTCCGAGGTGAAAATATATCAATATCACGAATCCCTATTATACCTACAGACGTGCCAATTCATTTTAAACGTGTGTAATTTCCAATTAGATTGGTATTTGCATTGACTATTGATAAGTCTCAAGGTCAAACAATGTCCATTTGTGGCTTGAATTTAAGCACACCATGTTTTTATTATACATGGCAAAATATCCACTTTGTTTGTGTTAGTACACACTATAGCATTAATAATAATGATAACTGTATTCGTCTCTTCGATCCTCTACATGATATAAGACATGTCATAAATAAAAAATGTGAAAATTATATATAACAATAATAACGGTCCACAGTATAACATATATCGGACACTTAAGACAGGTACTTAACTATATACATATAAAGAGAATAAAACAAACACACATACACATACAACTATATATATTTAAATNTCTGATCTGCTAAAAGCCCGCCGACGTCATCCTCACCGTCATCCCCGAACAATTTCATTTGATGCAACCACCTTGTCGATATTTGCTCTCTCCATCCTGATTGGCTGAGGACCTTCCCCACCGACCAGTTCGAATAACCTTGAACGGATCGTAAATGACTGAAATGAAGCACCATAAAAAAAGCATCGGATTTTGTGCCAGAACCTGTGAAGTACCTTTACTTAAATTCTCACATTGTTTTGATTGTTGTGTAATCCAAAATAACTTCTTCACACCAATAAACTGTATGCCTCTGTCCACTAATATATAACCAATATTAAAGGTGTACTGGGTATTGAGTGCATGAAGTTATACTCCACTTCCTAACAGTTTGGAGATTGGTTCAAGCGTTAATGAAGCATAATGGTATTTGACATCAGATATGAGACCAGGCTGTTTCTATCAAATTCCAGTATCACTTCAAAGCCGAGAGTGGAGCTGTCGGAGATCAAAGCGTTTCATAATGTATTTCCTAATAGTGGTGTTATTTAATGTGAAACAGTTACGAATCGTTAAAGACATTCTATCTTGAATGATCACGATTTTTTGTTGGTGGTAATTAGTGTTGACGGCTCGAATTGGTTGAAACAAGTTCTCAATGTTTTTCAGATATAATTTGACTGTTCGGAAGTACCTAATACTACTCTTTGGACAGGGGTTACATTATTATCATCATAATAACCTTTCAATCTTGCTGGTCGGTAGCAAACAATGATATTTTCACAAAGACATATATGATGTAGGTATGTTTAAAAAAAATAATAATAATAAATCGACTTCGTTCATCTAAAAAAGAAAGAAATGTGGACACCAGTTATAAAAGTAAATTAGATGAACAGGCCTTACAAAAATATACACTAAAAACATCATTAT